TTATTGAAGGTTTGAGGAGAGCGGATTACGTTAAGTTCAGTATAAATGAGACTGTAAATAAATAAAAATATTAAATGAACATTTAAAAACTCTTTTCTGTACTATTAATTTAGTCTTTTCCTTGTTTTATGGTTAATAATCGATATACTAATATAGACAAAAGGTGTAGGAGTGTTTTGAAGAAATGTATACCATGAGTCAGATATGAGCAACGTCGTTGTTTGCCGTTTTGAGACGACACATTCACGACAAGGTTATTCTAAAGTAAGACGTACAACACAAAATATTTAACCTGTATATATTTATAATGCAGAAGTAATGACGTTATTACATAAAGGGGTCGGCAGATGCAACTATTTATAATTTTATGCTGGTAATTCATTAAAAAAAATTTAGTACCCAATAGCTTTTCAACAATGTTTTCAGCATTCATATATATTTTTACAATTACTGTCTGTCTGTCTGTTTGTTCCGGTTAATATCTGAAGTAGCTAGACCGATTTTGACGGGACTTTTATTGTCAGGTAGCTGGTAATAAGGAGTGACATACGCTACGGTTGTTTTGGAAAAATTCTTTTGTTTTAGAAAAAATAAGACAAACAGAAACAGTATTTCACGCGGACGAATTCGCGGGCACAGCTAGTTACAGAATAAAATGTAAACATTATGACCTTTGTTGTTACGTAAATGTCGCAATAATTTAACTAGAATAAATAGCATATTCATGTTACGTACACAACATGTAGCTAATTGAAGACCATATTATAATGCAAATTTATTTGTTGTCTATGCATATTTTACATATATGTCATAGCAATAGTAATAATAACGACGTCCATTCACCACTATATATGTACGATAACACACTAATATTATAAACGCAAATGTTTAGATGAATGGATGGATGTTTGAAGGTATCTCCGGAGCGGCTCAACGCTCTCAAAATTTTGGCACAAATGTAAAACATAGTCTGGAAGAACACATAGACAACTTACTACGTTTTTTTTTTTTAATTCCGCGCGGACGGAGTCGCAAGTGACAGCTAATTTATTATAAAAACTGCAAAATATTGAAATTCACTAAACATGACATTTTACTATCGTTTATTACTCAACAAAGACGACTTAACTTAAATCAGAAACATAAAACTCCCAATAAACAAATATCCCAATTCTTAATGTAATAAATCTTATGTATCGTTTATGGTCTAAATGTTGCCCATGACTGATTAAAAAGGATCCGTGAGATTAAAAAAAACTTAATTAGTAGGCTTTGTTTTCTTTCAGACTATGTTATACATCTATGCCAAATTACAGCTAGATCTATGCAGCCGTTCTGGAAAACCTTCAAACAAACGGTTGTTTGTTTGGATGGATGGAATGATGGCTGTCCTTCCATCCATCTAAACATTCGCATTTATAATATTAGTAAGAAGTAAAATAAGAAGAAAGATGTTTTAGTATTTATTAAACACAGTATACATAGTAAACAATGATAGTTATTATATTTATTAAAGGTCTTTAACGATCGATTTTTATTACTCAATCAACATTCAGTAACGAAATTTAGCGTATCTCTAATAATAAAACAGGAAATAACGATAACCTAACCTTTAACCTGATATATTTCTTCACAGATAATAAAAGTTCTAATTTTGAAATGAGTCACGTTAGTGTTGCAAGAACAAAAAAGTAAAACCTCTTTAGTAAAATCTTTTATATGAATCGGCGCTTAGGTTTGAAACCGCAAGACGGATCGATAGACCCTTGAACTTAAGCCACTGCTAGTTACGACCCGTACATAAATAAACCTAGTTTCCATGTCACGCAGTTTGATACAAGCTTTATTATTTTGTTTTAATTAACTTAATTTGATAACTGAAAATATTTTTGCGTATAACTTTAACAAGCTTTAAAAAAGTAAAACTTTACGCACATATTTTTAATGAGTTATCATTATAAAATTTGTACGTAATATCTAATCGTACTAATGCCAATGGTTAAATGAGCGGATGGATGGATGTTTGTTTGTTTGAAAGTATCTCCAGAACGGCAGAACAGATTTCGATGAAATTTGGTGTACATATGTTCTATATAGTGTGGAAGAACACATAGGCTATATTAAGTCTTTTTTAATTCTGCGCGGACGGAGTCTCGGGCGACAAGTTAACATATAATTCAAGAATCGGTAAAATCTACATCTACAAAGGTTTGAATGACATTAATTCTTATCGTAAATTTCTGAAAAAAAAAACAGCAATTTGTACCGATAGCTTCACCTACATTAAGGATCGTTCTTGATTTTTAAATAGTGGGACTAAGATATTATAAGTAATTAATCATTTCCTACATTACCGTAACGTTGGACAGATTAAGGTCATCCATCAAGGTGTTATTTTCGCGAACTTGACCGATTTACAAAACGAAACGAAAGTTACGATACTTCCTTAACATCAATCATTCGTTAAACTTGTTATCAGTTTCTTTAACTTTCTCTATAATTAACTATGATTTTAATTAATTATTAATCAAATTTATTACATCTAAAGTGTTGCTAATAAGCTTCCGTCTCTATTAAAATACCTATTAAAATGCCTACCTTAAAAATCAAATAAAAAAAATAGATTGCTGGTTTTTGAGATACATGGATTAAAGTAGTTAATCAAATTATCTACGAAGAAACCATCAAGCTTAATAAGTTATTAAAATAAATATGAATATTAATAAAGACAACGATATAGATGATCATCGTCCATATTTAACATCGAACCATTCTAAAATATTTTATCTACGGCTGAATTAAAATTTATTTCAAACTAGCTCTCGCCCTCGACTCCGTCTGCGCGGAATTAAAAAAGGTAATAACGTAATCTATGTGCTCTTCCAGGCTGCTTTCTATATCTATGCCAAATTTCAGCGAGATCCGATCAGCTGTCCCGGAGATACTTTCAAACATTCAACCATCCATCTAAACATTCGCTTTAATAAAAGTAAGAAGATAGCAGTACTTTTATCACCTCAAAGATAATAACCATATCGATTTATTTTAAATTACATGCAATTTACTTTTTTAATCATTATATCAAAGAGTAGGTAGTTGTTAATTAAAATTCAATGACCCTGAACAAAATCGATTCAACCATTTCATCTAAAATGTCACAATGGACATTTATACAAACTATACTATAACTAGCTGTCGCCCGCAACTCCATCCGCGTGGGATTAAAAAAAATAACCTATATGTTCTTCCAGAATATGTTCTATATGCATACCAAATTTCATCGATCATCCATCCATTTATCCATCCAAACATTCGCATTTATAATGTAAGAAGTAAGATATAAAGGATGTTATAACGTCATTAAAATGACGCTATTTTGTTATTCCTAGAAATCTTGAGATAAGCGACTATTTTGATTCGGTCACTGGATTTGTGTTTCATCAATTTATTGATAAACTTACTGTTATATTTAACATTTGTACATATTTCGTCTAATCATATAATACCAGTATCATAATTATTTAAATGAATATTAATAATATCTATAGATAATTCTAGAACTTCTGATAAGTGTTTAATATCAAATTATTCAGAGATACAATTATTAAATATGTGTATAGTTCAATTCAAAGACTGATTGACCAAGTTGTTTACGTACACTGATTTCTTTAATGTTTCGCAATTTTAAATGAACGACTGAAAAATATATTCTAAATTAATTGGTAATTAAATTTAAAGCATGTAAAAGTACGAATGTTTAGATGGATGAATGTTTGTTTGAAGGTATATCCAGAACGTCCGAACGGATCCGGCTGATATTTAGCATAGACGTAGAACATAGTCTGGAAGAATACATATGCTACGAATTCGCTTTTTTTTTAATTCCACGCTGTCAACGTGGCGGGCGACAGCTAGTAATTGACATTACAATCCAATACATATTATGTTCAAATAACAATAGCAAATAATAGTAAGGTTATGTGCGTCTTTAAAACTTTTGTTTTACTTTTAATATTCAAGAAACAAAAGATTTCTTAACGTTGATAACAAATTATAAGTACACAATAACGACACCTGCTTATCTTCATGATATTTACACATGATAATGTCACGGCCAAAAAAGATAAACTACCAAAATTTACGTATTTTGATGTTTCCTAAATTTTACATATTTTAATGGAGTATTTAGTTTACTGTTTAGTTCATTGACGAATCTAATCGGCGTAAAAATTGACCTAAATCACAACCTGACTCATTCTGTTAGCTTGATGACGAATTACAGAAAAATCTATACTTGAATGAGATTGCCTTTACTAATTGAATTCTAAGATTATCCATTACAATTCAACTTCATTAACATTAGAACCAAACTTGGGATCGGGAAATATCTTAGTTACCGAGGTAAATAAAATATTAGTCGATATTATAAAGTACGTACACATGCTACTTATACTAATCATAAGCCTACATTCCAACTCTACGATAACAAAAGTACCTACAAGTAAAGCAACAACACAAACCAGTGATATGGAACGGCTATCGCTGCAAGCGGCCGTCACTTGTTATTGCTGAGCGCATACGTCACAGGGCGCTACGTACAACGTTCGCTGCACCCGGAAAAGCGAGAAAAGCGTAGCCTCACCTGCGTTGGTAGCGCGGTGTCCCGGCCCAGGGGTATCGACATTTTGCTAGCGGCGCCGCCGGCCGCGCCCCGGCGCCCGCCCGCGCCCTCGCCCGCCCCGCACCATCCACCGAACCGCCACCGCCGCTACTCCGCCGCCGCGCAGCGCCCAAAGACGCCGTCCTCCGAGGAAAACAATTTTCCCGAAAACCGATCACAGGCAGCCCGCTTCCAAAAAATCACCGCACGTTTACAAATAGCTCGAAACACACATCACCGAATATTTTTCATTCAATATCGATTTATCACTGATCGTAAATATAAAAACAAATCCGTAATGTCGTGTTGAAATTTGGCGCGATTGCGACAGAAAAGGCGACCGCTCGGGTCGGCGCGTGTGAGCGACTGACGCGCCGCGCGCATCGGCCGCGTACGGCGCTCACCCCGCGCTCGTCGGTTACGATCGGCGACGGCGGGTAACGTCGACGGCGGCACGGGGTCGGTGGCGTCGCGCCTCCAGCCTCCTTCGCCTCCACGTGCCTCGTGCGCGGCCCACGGGCGTAGTGCCTAGTGCCTGTGCGGTTATCGAACGCGAGTACACATGCGCACCGCACGCACCGCTCGCACTGCACATCCCGTGGCTCATTCATTTGAAGGCATCGCCTCGCACAATACACACCTGAGCAAATATTATGGGACCGTCAACAATAGACGCGTTGTTTCGAAACGCAAGCACCAATTAACATTGGCTGCGCCACGATCCGCCCTGCACATCCTGTCACTTAGGTTAATGGACTTTCAGCCATAATAAATATGAATTATATGACTCTCTGTTTTGTAAATGACTGCGGTAGTATTTTTAAATTGAAATTAAATAAAAATTAACTAAAGTTTTCAAAGTTTCAATTAAGTGAGTGAAATGATCATACGATTACACAAGTCAGAAGTCAAAATCAAATCAACTACTCAAATCTTTGATCTGTCAAAAAGTTTAACAAAAGTCTTACTAAGGTAGCCCATTGGTTCTACGTAACACTTGTTCCTTTCTATGGCAGCGCAGGAAGGGTATTACAGGAGTGGGCCGTGGGCCTGCGTGGGCGCACTCGAGGCTGCGAACTTTAGCCGGTAGTCGCCCACTTTTCCTTTCTGCTACGTTCACCGCTCCACATTACGTCATTACACCCAGTACTTAGCCATTCAATATTCTCTAAACGTGGGTAATCACAGCTGGCTAAAGGATTCGAAAACAGTCTTAGAAACAGGTTCTTACGCTCCATTTATCAATAAATAAATCCAAGAGCGTGCACATTTGTTTACTAATCCAATAGTTATGAAGAAATCTGTTTCTTGACGGTAATGATCGAGTCACGAGGATACAATTTGCGAAGGCAGTGCGTATCTATTTATTAAATCACTATGCAATATTTAATGCATTTTGAATGTCTTAAACAATTAACAAGTTACAATTAATTTAGTACACGATTTTATCTGTAGGTAGGAAGATGAAATACTTGAATAGCTAATCTCTAACTAATATGATTACTATTTTTGTCTAAAGCCACTCACTTTTCCAAAATTAATTAACTCCTATAGACATGCAAAAAATACTTTCTAAACACGCAACCAAATTAACAACAAATTCGTTCCACTAATGACGATGTAATTCGCAACTTCACTATCACCTTGTTTGTCGTGTTCGCGAACTTTCTTCACCGAACTAATTTTCACAAAGATTATTTACTTAAGATCAAAAGTCATTTTTACTAACAACAACAATGTTATAATATAAAGTAATTAATTGTACCTTTTATTACAAATAAGTTATTATACAATTAATGTTAAACAATACTAAAAATGGGGAAATTAAAATATAGAATAAAATCTTTTTTTTAACATAAATTGTATTTCTTATTTATAAAGTTCCTTCTGTTTAATTCTTTTACACATTTTTTATTCCTATCTACACTTTAAAGCCAAACAATCAATTGACCTGGTGAATTCTAGTACCTAGAAAAATCTAACTTCCTTACGAAACTCTTATACTCTGTAATGACCCTGAAGTTAAATTAAAAAGTTCTAATTTCCGTCTTCTTCAATATTTATAGAATAATAATTGTTAACTACATTAGATTGAGTTAATTCAATGTGTTGCTGAATTGAAAATCCCCCTTCTAGGTACATTAAAACCTTAAAGTTACTCGTACTTACCTGAACTCTCTCCATTCCACCATCATACAGGGTCCATCTTCCGTATGTTGTCATTTTTTACACTAAATACATCACACACTTAAAACAGATTTATTGTTATAATAACTAAATTAAAAAGCATATGGCTACCACGAGTGCAATGTGACAACTGTTATTTGACACTAGAACGATAGCGAATATTTAGTGCTGATTAGCACAAAATGTGCAAATCGCTCGGCTGCGGTCGCGGCGTACCAGTCTGCATGTTTCTCGCAGATTGAAATTGATTGCCCTCTCAGTCATGTTCATTGACGTGATTGAACAAAATGGTTGAAATGGACCTTGCAAGATGGTTTACTAACGTTATTGTTACAATGTATAGTTCGTTTCAAAGTACCGATGTTTTTATTTTATTATTTTGAAGGTAGTTGTGTATCATTAAAAATAATATATACAGACCTACATTGTTTAAAAATACGCAACTTTTGAAGTTAATTCCAATACTCTTTTCTCGATGACAACGAAACCACATGATCTTATTAAATTAAGATTATTATAACGAAAATGCTTCATTCATATACCATTGCACAGTTTGTCCAAAGTAAAATAAACCTTCTTTAAGGTTTTGTTAAATTGCTAGTAAGGTGTTCATTTTGTGTTTTATATAAATTTATCATCACTTTCTATAAAAAAAGACAACTTATTTTTAAGATATGAATAAACTGCGGTTCCTCTGGTATTGATGTTCTGTTCGTTTGCCCCCTTCTCTTATAAAAAAAAACTATCTTTAAAAAATCCAACACTTTAAATAGAGCAAATGTAAATAAGTATACAAGGTCCATTTTATTGGTATAAATATCTACGCAGTCACTGCCTGTATATTGGGATGCTAATAAAAATGGCCATGTGCATCATTACGTATTTGATGGCACAATTAAAATATATTTCAGCTTCAAATTCCTTGCATACAACGTGCAGTGCGCACACTGATATTACAGTATTAAAATTATTTTGTTTAATAACACATTTCCAGCTACTATGACGTTTTTTGTATAAAAATGAACTCATCAGGCTTATATAGCACTGAACATGTTAAATAGGGATGTATATTTTTACATACAAATATTTATTATAGTCAATTATTCATTATTAATATTATAATAAAGAAAATATTTGATTGTATGTTTGTTTGCATTGAATAGGCTCCAAAACTACTGATCCAATTAAAAAAAATCTCTCACTGAAAGCTAGCAGATATGCTATATTACTAGATTTTTTTTAAATTCCGAGTGGTCTAAGTCGATGCAAACTCCTAGAATATTAGAAAGACCATCTCTACATTATTATCATACATGTGTAAGAATTAAACCAATCAGCAACAGAGTTAGGTTGTCAGCGTGTTGTTGAAATACGTACAAATTTGAACATAAGTGATTTTAGTAAAGCCATACCACTGTTTTATTGAGAACCAATGTTGGAATACTTAAACAGCTTAAGACAAAAGTACCAAGTACTATCATCAGCAACTTAGAAGAGGCAGTTAAGTTAATCTAAGTAGTCATATGATAATAAATATTACGCTGTAACTTATCACCGTATAACCTGTTCGTAAAGCAGTAGTACTTGAAAGTACGTACAATGTACCCAACATAAACTTTAAACTGAAGAAAGCAATCACCATTTTACTCAAAGCTACGAGTAATAAACAATTAAGAAAGTTGTCCTAATGTTAACTGGTCGCTTCTCATGGTTTTAACAGCCAAGAAACCCGTGATAAATTATCTTGTGCGATAAGTAAGGAACTTAAACGCGCTAACGGTAAGTAAATGACGATTAGTAGACACAAAATGGCCTGTTAAGACACACAGAGGCCGGTAAAGATTTGTTTTATGTTAGAAAGTAAACGAGTATGCCTCTCCACCTTATTTTAAGTGACAACTTAAATGAATTCTCACAGCATTCGGTAAAATTGCAATTTCCTGTGATAAATAGTAATCGTAATTGAATTTGGGAAAGGTGTGACTCATCCCCTAAAGCTTAACAAGGCTCAAACTAAAAGGCACATATCAACGTAGTATTTCAATGATTTCTTCAGACGACAAGAGGTCTGTGACTTAACAGGATAATACATTATTTTTATTTACGGCTTATCTTTCATTTTACATGTTATATATGTGTAAAGTTTTCAAACATACTTATTCCGTTTATTTAAAAAGTAATAAAATAATTAAAATAAAAAGAATAAAAAGCTAATATAATTTTATTTCCAGACAAATATTTTTCCTGAAAATCAATTGAATTTAGATGATTCATCGGTTGCTTCTTTTGCTTAATCTTAGATCTCTCTCGATCTCATACTGACGTTCGTCTGCGCGCGCAAGGAAATCTTGTCTCTCTAAATATCTGTAACAAAAAAATGAAAAACTCCCAATTTAGTGTATTCCACAGCTAACATACTTGTATAAAAACATATTTTTGTCTCTGGTTTTCATAGAGAATAAGAACAATTTTTTTTTGTTTAGGCAACACAATTAAATGGTGCAATTATAGCTTGATTTTGAATTAAATTTGAAAAAAGTCTTATTCATAAGAATTATTATTTTTTATATAAGTGAAGGGGGCAAACGAGCGCCGGGAACACCGAGGTGATCAACGACACCCATGGACATCTGCAACACCAGAGGAACTGCAGTTGCGTTGCCTGCCTTTAAGGAAATGGTATGTATTTACCCTTGTTTTCCCTTATTATGACTTTTTATTTCTGCTTCTATGTCCTCTTCCTTTTTAAATGTGTCCCAATCGAGTTTGGACTTTTCAAGTGTGGATAGTTTGTTTTTCTTATTGAGTTGACCAAGAACATTTGATAGACCGCCACCTCCGCGACTTCGAGAAGGCATGGTTTTACTCACTGCAATGCCAAAACAAAGATTAGTTATCGTCAGGACATCACCATGCAGCTTATGCAAAGTTAGGGGTGACTATTCATATTTCCCAAACATAAGGAATTTGCTTATAACGAAAATCTAATTTTTAAAATCAAATTATCGCCTGTCTGTTCGACTGGACCGACTTTGACTGGAAGGTATCTTAGGAGTTCGGGAGTTACTACGTGTATGTTTTTTTATGATGTAGTACATCATAAAACTAACTAAAGAGAATAATGAAACAAGGAAGTATTTACCTGATGGTGAAGACTCAGTTGCTTTGATCTTTTCTTTAATGACATTATTTTCCACAACAATTGT